ATATTAGATGTATGTATATATATACTTGATATATATATATATATATATGTGTGTGTGTGTGTGTGTGTTGGCGATTGAGTGCTTATCACTGATTTTGCCCATCCAACTATTCTTCTCTGATTGCAAGCTGTGATATACTTACATATTATAGTTGTTCGTTTGAACAGTTATCATTCCGCGACTGTACGACATTTCCTGTCGGACTCATCAACACAACAACGATGAGGTACGCGTGGCGCGGGTAGTCGCTCTGCTCGTCAAAACCGTTGTGGCAGCTGTGCAATCAGGTACGTAATATTCACATCGGCATTTGTGTGATATATATGGTTGCGTATAGTCAACTCTGTACAGTGGGACCCTTTGTTTCTTTTTTTTCCATTTACATTACAATCATTCCCACTTGCCTTAGGGTGTATGCTTGTGATGGAGAGAACGGTGTAGTTAGCAGAGTAGTTAGCAGAATTTGTCAGACCTACACACTAGTCTTGGTATGGAGAGTTGATTGTACAAACCAGCTATACCATGAGAGTCAGCCATTCCAACTTGGACACTTTACTAGAATTATTCTGCGAGTAAGAAAATATCCACTAAAGCACAAGCAGAAGACTGTCTGTTCACTATCAAGCTCACGAAGACGCGATATCAGCCAACTACACAAATGGACCAACCAACTTTAGATCGGACAATCAGGTTGTCAGATGCGACAGGTTCCGATGTTCGCATCAGAAGCAGAACAGTTGAGCGAATTGCGTACCATTGAATATCTGCCATGGCCTCATATCATCTGACACTAGCCCTCCGTATACCGCACCCTTACAGAACTGCCACTAGTGGTTTTGCAAAAATACGTGCAGCCCACATGCGATACGCTGCAAATGCTGCCCCGTACCTGTGTGCGTGTGGAGGACGACGAAACTCTCGCGGAAATCTCAGTGGAGTGCACCGAGCGCCTTTCAGCCTCAAACGTCGCAGCACATGCCATCAGCGAGTCACTGTCGACCACAAAGCAGAAATTCAAGAACTTCTTCAACAAGAACGAGGACGACGATTCACATGTGGACACGAACGGGATGGAAAACATGCGCAACGCTATGAAAACGTCCACTCCACCCCCGGGAGCAGCCACGAATGCCTTCGCCAATCTGTTCAAAACCCGAGGGTAGCTGGCAAGCAAGGATTTAAGGAAATGAAGCTACATACAGTATGTGTTTCGCGGTTATTCTTGAGCCTGTCTCGATGAACGACCATGTGGCACATAGTCTGTTCTCAGGTAGTACATGTTAAGTGTAAGAACCTCAAATCAAATAGCTACTCCAGGAACTTGGATTGCAATTTTGTCCATTGATTTTACAGTGCATACTCCTGGTCGTAACCGCATTGCATCCAAAACGACCTAATTTTCGGATGATTTTCTGTAAAAGTAGCTTATGGACAGCATTAAACCAGAAACTGGCGTATATATAGAGATTACGCAGGTAGGATTCTTCCGAAGCCTAGCAAACGTAGTACATATGTAGAATGTGCCCGTGGCGAATTTATTCAGTTAAAAAAGTTGCAACATGAGCTCTAATTTTCGCCGTACGCTTTCCAACCAATTTCCCTAAGCTTGTCCACTTTGCCTAGCACTTCCTGCTCTGATGCTCGCAAGTAGTTCTCCATACGTGTGTTGAGTGAATCGTCTGCCACCCCAAGCATGCGTATGGCCAGCAATGCGGCGTTGGTTGAGTTTCCAATCGCAACTGTGGCCACGGGCACCCCGCGCGGCATCTACGAGTGGATTACGATCGTTGAGAGGTAGGATGGTAGAATGTTAGCGGATATATAATGAGAGTGAAGCTATTTGAACGGAGGCACGAATATTCAAATAGTGAGTCTGGACACCATGACGGAATACCCACCGAGTCCTTCAAGTAGATGGAAGGGATATATATGGTACACGAAAGGCTGTACTTGATACGGTTCATTACATTATAGGTCTCTGCGCTTTTGGACTCGCGATCACTCGATACAATCAGCACAATACATGAGATAAGTGATGGCTCTGTCAGTGTATATATCGACAATGTATGACATATGGATCTACACGCACTTGACATATTGAGTACAGCGAGTCGACTCCATCCAGGTACTTCAACGGAATAGGAACTCCAATCACTGGCAGTGGGGTTAACGCGGCTGTCATGCCTGCAACAAGTCAAAATGTGTATTGTCTCATCGTCATCAGTGCATGAACACGTTAGTAGTTCAGTTGTCTATGTCGATCAAGATTGGGTGAACACTCGAAATTGTTAAATTAATCTTGAATCAAACGAAGAGTATTGATAGCTTACCTGGTAGATGGGCAGCTCCCCCGGCAGCAGCGATGATCACTTTCAGGCCTAAAAACATTGAAAAGCATTCGAAAAGTCCACGTCATTAGCGTGCATCTGATTGACTTCAGGTTTCAAGCCAACTCAACTCGCGCCAAACGGACAACACATTACAAGGAAACGTAAGTTATGTACAATGGTCCGCAGGGCAATGAAGATAATACAACTTCTACTCAGTCCTTGATGCAAACAGACTAGTCTGATTCGAGCCATGCACACTCACACCGAGCTATAGGCTCGCTCTTCGCAGGTCTTGTATGCACTCATTCACAACACGATATGCTCAGAGTCCAGTGACCATGATTTCAATTGGAAGCACCAATTCAGCCATCCAAACAAATTCAAAATTTCTGTCGATTATTGGAGGGTGTAGTCAAACCTTGGACCGTGTAATCTAAAATGAGTGAATCAATATATGTACATCGATATCTATGTATGTGAAAGGTGAATATACAACGTTGTGATTGTCCAAGCAATATAGGGGCTCGCTTACCTCTCGACCGAGCTGTATTGCCGTACTCCACCAGGCGTGCAGGCGTGCGATGTGCCGATACAATTGTCACCTCGAACGGAACTTCAAACTTCTCCAGAATCTGTGCGGCGGCCTTCATGGTTGGCAGATCAGAGTCACTGCCCATTATAATGCCTACCACCGGCTGGCTGTCACTGCTGTTTGAACTGGTTTGCCAGTGCCATGAAGATGCGCTTGAAGATTAGCACGCATGTATGTGACGATGCATTTTCAATACAAAACCCAGATTGCAAAAGACTCGTGGCATTAGATATACACACAGAACGAACGTTGCTAGCACACAAGACAGCAATACGGTCATGACAGCCTACTTCCGCAACAACACTTCACTGAATATCAGGGCACAACAGTGACAAAGCACTGGTACCAATGCAGGTCAGTACTGTAGGCATGTATTCAGAGACAACACAGATTGCATACAGCACGTTTTAGGACGTACAGACACGACAGACCTCTCACTATTCGGCTGAGTGACCTGTTCGGAGATTGATAGCGCGGTTGCGAGCGACGCGGCTGTGAAGGTGATGTGACCCATTTTCCTTCCTTGCTTCACAGCTGATTTGCCGTACCAGTGCAGACTTGCGCCATTCAAGCTCAACGCGCGGGCGAAAGGTTGCCACGTGGCGTCCAGGGAGGTTCCTGTCGTATGCAATGCGATTTATATCATGAATCAACGTTTAGTGTATATAAACTAACACGGATAAAAGGGCAAGATCAGCCGTATTTGGGTGCTGCTGACATAGAGGGCGCGAACTGTAAACCGATTTGGCGCCTCACATGTCCTTGCACAGGCTACTCTCACACGAGATTGACGGCACGTAAGGGCGTGATGACCTCGCAAGCAAATAGAAGCTTGCACTAATCCCATTTCCGTAAGGGAATGCATGAATAGTAATACCTGACACAGACAAATTCGACCAAAGACACTTGGTACTACTAATATTAGAATTAAACGGACAGAACAAAGATTGTTGCACACACCGCTTCCCAATATATTAACCATAACAGCTCCTCCGACCTTCAGAGAGCAGTCGCCCAGTGGAAGACCCAGCACAGCTCGCAGATGGTTTTCGAACTGCGATGTGTAGCACGCCTCGATGGTGTAGTGGCCCTGAGTGTACCAGCAATCAAACAAATTAATAATTAATACATGAGACGTGGAAAGGCTCAAGTCTGTTACCAGAGCTATATCGCCAGACCTCCGTGATGAGTGATTCGAGGAAAAGATCGCGCAGTGTATATAGAGAGATAGATTATTTGCAACACCGCCAGTCTTCACGAACGCATTATAATTGGACTCACAGAATTATGGGGTCTGGGAGCGATCTCATTGACCACTAAAGCCATATCCTTGTCCACAAACATCTCCACGCCAAACACTCCCACCGCCCCACATCCGTCAAAGGCTCTGATGGCATCAGCCGCCAACGCCTGTGCTCGCTCCGCCACTTCAGCGGGAATGCGAGCGGGAGCTATGACTGTGTGGCAAATGTTGTCCTTTTGTATCGTCTCTACCACCGGGTAAGTGCGAATGGTCCCTGCATGTCGAAGCGGAGATGGGGGTGTCAAGACGGCGTGCACAAGGCACGCCTGACCTTATCACGGGACAATTTTAATCACGTTTGTGTGTCTGCGCTTAAAATAAGTTCAACAGAGACAAACTCGGACGACCACTATATGCATCAATCAAGTCGTTCCGAAGCGATAAATAAAATGGCATATTGGTTATGTGTCCGTTTGTCTAGAACGTTTGTACTTCACCGCACCACAGATACACTGACACTGGATGATTGAATACCCAGCCAGACACAGGCGCATACCGTCTATGGCCCTCACCACCATCACAGCCAGCTCCATTGTGTACTGGAACCACTTCTCGACGTACAGGTCACGCCCGCCAAGGGAATCAAATGCAATGCGCACATCTGCCGCACTTTCCACCACCGAGTTCCCTACAAAAGCGAGTGAGGTTTACTAGAGGGGCAGGGACAGGTTGCGGCAACGAGAAGTATTTCTCGACTAAAAAGTCATATTGTTCACTCTCGCCGTGCACGAGACAGAAACGCGATGGCTGGGATAAGAATACAATGTATTGGCGTGACCACTCCTAATATATACGACGAGAAATAGTAAGATTTGGGGTATGGTCGGGTTCGTGTTCAATTATCTGCGGCAATATCGCGCCCCGTCAACACAATCACATGCGCAGATTGGGCAGAGACGGCTCATAGTTTATACCCCCCGGGATGCTGATGTAAATTATTCAATCACAGCGGCCCCGGTGACTACCCCAAACCGCGATCCACTAGCACACTATTCGGCGAGAGGTAATTTTGAACACATGCGAAAGGCACTGATGATCCACGGCTTGTGTTTGTCTACACATGATGTTGGGATAGTACAGCGCCCTTATGTAGCCATGTTTCAATTGACGGCGGTACCTTTCGGCTCAAATGCGTATTCATTCGATGCGTATTCATTCGAGTACGGTGAGTAGCTCATTTCAATGCTGGCATATATACATGTACTATGAAATGCACGCCGATCCTTGAACAATTTTAAAATAGCACATATGTATGTGTCGGACCATGCTTCGCTGCAGACAAACATGTATACCACCATTTTTCGGCGATTCACCATTGCGCGATTAATCTCTAACCATGTATTTTATGTTGACAGCCCTGAGGCGAGACGTTCCAAGTCTGCAAGAAGAATCCCTTCAAAGTGTAATTTTGGAAGTGTTGAAGGGGCTTTAAAGTCCCAGCTCCTCACCTCGATCGTTGAAATGCACACAAACATTTTCAGATGACCCATAATGCCTACAGAAACATACAAAGATCACTCAAAACCAAAAATTTACCTCGCCCGTCGTAGGCCAGTTTCTTTGCTTTCAACATCATTGGATATCCAAACTCCTCGCCCAGCTTCACCACGTCTTCGACACATTGTACAGACCTTGACGGGACTACGTCGATGTCCTGGTGAGACCACAATGATTTGGTTAGTGGTGTAAAGGTCCCTGATCATATTCTTCAACTTGCGTCTTGTGTCCCGCGTGACTAGTTTTTAGTACATAATTCTATGACAAACAAACACACTCCTACACAAAGGTGCTAAATTCATTGGTCGACGGCTGAGAGTACGTGTGTACGAAAATCCAGTGATGCCCGGGCGTTCACATAGTCATTACCTGTGATATAACACACTACGTCAGTGCCCTGCTGAGTCAAGACGTACATTGATACCAAATAGGCGCACGACGCATTCAGCTAACCCACATGCTCGCACATTTTGACAGGTGAAGTACAATGAGCACCCCAAACATTCACTTGTATGTTGAATCCAACCCACTCCTTACCTTGCTGATTAAAAACTCTTTCTGTACAAACTTGTCCTGAATTATGCGCACTGTTTTGGCGCTCGGGTAGATGGGGATGTTGGTTGTCTGCTCGATCTCAGCCATAGCATCCACATTGACGTGTTCAATCTCCACAGTAATGACATCACACTGTTCACTCAGTTCTTTAACCTTGATCGGGTCCTGGAACAGACATGCAAAGCAAATGGTCGTGCAAACACGGAGGCACTAGCTTGAATGTCCTAACAGTGGGGCAGCGCAATACTTTCGAACAGGGTCGCTAAATCTGTATTTCAGATTCTCTAGACAAAGGTCGCTCCAATAGATTTTATATGAGCGTTCAAAACGGACAGTGTACGAGATCGAAAAATACTCATATGCAGAACAATAAATAAATTTCGTATGATTGAAAGGCATGCGGATAGTACACTGCAATTTAAAACAAAAATACGCACTTAAACATATAGACACAAGAAGAGTGATCACATACTTTTACGATAACTCATACAATCTCAAATGAGCAAGATGGTTACTTCATATTAATACGCCGCGAGTATGAACCAATGTTTTGCTCTAATTATACAAATACTCAACAACAACAAAACACAATGCGAGCGAATTTGTTTAGCATATACATGCATTCCTATGAATGAAGGTGCACAAAAAACCTGCATACTAATCAATTTAATTGAGTATTTATGCATCCAAAAGATTTTATCAATTTGGTTTTTAGTGCATTGACAGTTCAAGATTCTAGTGTTGAATACTAACTATTCCCGTATGTGCGATAAAGGTAGCGTTTTAGGTTTAAGGTTTAAATATATTAATAAATAAATAAATCAAC